AAAAAGTACCCAGATGAACTACTATTTTCAGCGAGATTCTGAAGTGTGCATCCGATTAATGCTTTTGACACTGGTAGGCCATGTAACAGTGACAACATGGCCGATATAGTACGTCAGGATTTCATCCATACTACCCATATTCATACTTTTTTAATTGTTGCAAGATTAGATTAGATTAGATTCAACTTTATTGTCATTGTGCATAGTACAAGTACAGAGTCAATGAAATGCAGTTAGCATCTAACCAGAAGTGCAAATAGCAATTTTAAATTAATATAATATATAATATATACATGTATATCTGTGTATACATCTGAACTGAAAATAACTATTAAAATAAATAATAATTAGCAAAAGCTGGAGAGATGCTAAGCCTTGCATTGTGCACGCGCCGCCATCTTGTCTATAAATAAGTTTAACGTAGTAGTACAAACGTAGTACCTACTAGACTGTCGTCATTTACTGACCCTCATGTCATTCCAAACCTGTATGACCTTCTTTCTTCTGCAGAAAACAAAAGAGGATATTCTGAAGAATATAGGCAACCAAACACTTTTGTTGTCACCCGTATGGACAAAAACACTGAGACATTTCTCAAAATGTATTTTTTTATTTTTCAAAGATGAATAAGTAAATAAGTCAAACATGTTTGGAATGACATGAGGGTGAGTAAATGATGACAGAAATTTGGTTTTGGGGTAAACTATTACTTTAAAAATATTAGTTATGACTCCATGAATCAAAATAATAACACAATAGCACAATAATAATTATTACAATTATACCGTGCTTTTTTCTTTTTGTTCCTACTTCTCATATTTAGTCACTGTTATGATCCAATTACCAAATATAATTCGATTTAAATCCATAACAATTATTCTAAGCATAATAACACAAGCTACACTACAATCAAAAGTGGTGTAACCTGCCTAAGGTGTGACGCCTTCCCGTGTAGAAATGGAGAGGGCTCCACCCCAATGTCATCAACCCCACCCCACGAAAACAGCCAGCTACAGGTAGGTGGGAGCTGAAGAACTCACACAGGTGAAATGTTGCTTGACAGGCCTGATGGGAAACAAAGCTTACGTAGCCAGCAGAGATATTGAAAGACTGACAGCTCTCTCTCTCTCACTTTCACTCTCTCAGTCAGGAGGAGTCTATATGGGACGCTGTCACTCTGGAGTTGTCTGCACACTGGAGGGCTGTGTTTCTACTGACCTCTGCATATTGGAATACTAAGCCTCTTTTTTCCCTCCCTTTCTGTCTCTGGTCTTATCCGGGGGAAGGAATTCTGGCAGAGCTGTTGAAGGGAGCTTTTTTTTTTCATTCTTCCCCTCTTTCATACAAACACACACACACACACACACATACACTACATTTCTCCTCCTTTGGTGTGTAGCCTGCGGTGGTGAGGGCAGACATTGATAGTGTTTTTGTGGATGTGTGGCGTGGACAGTGCAAAGGAGACATGCTGCAAAATGGCACGGCTGGTGCCATCAGCACCACAACCACTACTGAGATACCAGACCTCAATGAGGTAGGAAACACTCACTCACGTTTTCTTGCTCTTTTGAACTTTGTTTCTTTGCGAATGTCTGATTATAACTGATTCTCAGTAAGGGTGTTCGTTTGCCTATGTTTGGTTCAGTTTCTGTCCTCTTGTCTCTCGGCTGTCACTCATGCACCGGACTGTGCCCTAATGGCTCGTCTATATCAAGGCTAATCGGACGCTGTTGACGTGTGCGAGGCAGCGTTGTGTTATTCAGAGAGGGGCCTGTAATAAGAGCCACCGTCCTGGGAGGCAGGGCCCTGTCATGTTTATTTTATCAGGGCCTGGCGCTCAGCCGCTGTTGCTGCGGTCAGCTGCCATTCAGAGACATTCTTACAGCTAATCAACTGACACCCTCTCAGATGGCACTAACTGGCATAGAGGGCATCAAACCGCTGAGAACCACATTTTTGACTGTAGTAGTTATTGATTTGAATTGAATAGATGGCCACATCTGAAGTGGATAATCATTGACGTGTTAATGGGCGGTCATATTTTAATACAGTTGTGTTATTCTATCTGTCTCAGTGATAAAAATCACTTAGAGCAGCTTGTTTTTTTCTTTTCATGCAAGACATTTCTCATAATAGATAAGTGTTATCCTTGACATGACTTTAAATGTTTGTTTTGGTTTCAGTGAAATTGCTTCCATTTTCTCCTGAGATAACAATCATCCGATTGTCTGCCTAATTAAACTAAGATTGTGACTAATCATTGTTTGTTTGTCTGTTTATTTTTTTGCATCCTGCTATGCTTATGTGTGACGTCCACCAGAGGAGAATCAGGCATCTCAGATTAACTCTCCGGCCTGAGAACAGTCCTAAAACTCAGAATGAATCTGTCAACTCCGTAAGTATCACTTTAGCATCTTTCTATAAACTTCTTGCAGCCAGACAGATTGGCACAAGCCATCCCTTCACGCCATAATAACAAACTTCCTCTTTTCACTGACTTCACACAGTCCTCAATCTGTTTGGCTAACATCACAAATGGCATGATGGCCTGATAACAGGATAAGCTCAACAAGATAACATAAATGGCTGATTTCTTTACGTTATGACACATCAGCTAGAGATGATCTCAATACAAGGTTTTTAACTTTGGGTCTGTGGTCCCTGAAAGCGCTCCAATGGGTCAGTGGATAAAGATGTTTTCTTAAGTCTGTATGACATTTTCAGCAATTTAAATATATTGAACTTTTTATTTAAACATTGTTTTGCACTTTTTATAATACAGTTATTGTAAACTGCTTTAATAATTTACAGTTTTACTATTTTTACTGTATTTTGGATCAAATAAATGCAGCCTTGGTGA